GATGGTTGCATTCTAAGTTTTGGACCATGCAGAACTTTTTATCAGGAATACATTTTTTCACAAAACCAATAATAAAAAAGTTTTCCATTTGGTTCCAACTTAAGTAGACACACTGTATGACAAATACAAAAAAAAAACGTCGAAAATATTTGGAGGATAAAGAAAAGTAATTTAAACGTATTTGTTAGGTATATCAATAATTTTATTGCACAAATTCATAACCGAAACCAAAAATGTATTATAAAAATATTGCACACAAATATAATAACCCAAATTCATCATAAAAATCACAAAATATCTGCTATTAACGACGACCCACGTCCTCAAAATTCAGGACCCCATAAAGCATGACCTGAAAAGAGAACAAAAATTAATATTTACACCTCAAATGTATCATCAAAATACAGCACATACATATATAATAACTCAATTCCATTATAAAAACACAACATACCTGCTATTGTTCACAAAAATCCAAAAATGCCACAGGTACCTCCATAAAACGCCTATAGCCGCCATTGAACATTGAAACGGTACTAAAAATAATACACCTACCTAAAAAACATGCGTATTTCAAGAACCTTTTGGTCAACAGCATTTATGTATATATACGCTATGTAACATTTTGTACGAAATAATTTAGTACGAAATAATTAACTCATTTTGCCTTAAAATGTGGCTTAGCTCTTTTCACCACCAATATGACAATTTATTAGAAGAGGATAAATTATATTTTTATATGAGAAGATTTTACTTTTTCACAACATATTGAATAAAAAATAAGAGATTGACCTACTTGTTTAACTATTATTAAAGGAAATGATACAGAATTTAAAAAATATGCTCAAGTTTAAATCATTGCACTTATTTTTAGATAATTTTGTCTTACTTTGTTGTTTTAAATGAAACAACCAAAGTTAGAGTATTGATTTTTTTTTAAATTTTACAAATTTTATGCTTATGGATTTCCAAGTTAGGTATGCATATTTTATAAAAAACAACTCATGTTTTTTAGCAAGATATTCTGATGTATGCTGGAGGGCATCTTCTGTGATTTTTCTCAACTTTTCTTCTAGATTTGTACTTGAACTGATGATTAGATTTCCAGGCAAAACAAGCCTGTTGATGATAATGAACTGCTTGAATCTGATGGTGTTTTTTTTTTTCAATATACCATGTACCTAGCTGTAGATTCACTTTTTATAAAATTTCAGGCGTTATATAGTCTTCTTTAGACAAGTCTGTAGTATTTACTTTTGCTTCTAAAATTCCTAGAATGTCATCAGGACATCAGGTACAAAGGAAACCTATAACATATTTTTAAAATTGTATTTTTAGTTCGATTAACCCTTCAAAGGCGGAATTATTATTTTTTTAGAGAAAATTTATTGATTCTAATGACTAAATTATATTTATTAATGATGAGGAGAATAAGGTTTTTTAATTTTTTTTCTTTATTTTTTACACAAAAATGTCGAACATGTTAGTTGGTGTGAAATATATAAAAACATTCAATACATAGTCCCAAGTCACATTTATTACACTGTGTTCGGCCAACAGAGCAGCAATCTTCTCTAGCACATCTTCTCCTCTTGTTTTTTGGAACTGGAACAACTAAGTGGTCCTTATGGTCATACCTGATATCATCAGAAATCCTATTCAAAGTGACACTATTTCGACTGGTTGTTGGTCTTCCAGATCTTTTTGGAACAGTTTTAAATCTAGTAAGGTATACCTTCACAATTTCTCTTCTGAAATTCAAATTGGTGATTGAATGACCTGAACTTTTATATTGAGTCCATGCGTTATGTAATGCTGTATCTAGAAGCCAAGTTAGTAAAGGCCAATACCATTTCTTACTTCTGATACCGATTCTATGGCGAGCAATGTCTTCGTCCATTCGATCTGCCCCACCCATATATTTATTATAGGCGTTTATAAGATGGGGCTCGGGAATCTGAATAATTTTCTTCTCAGACTGTGAATATCTTTTTACCAAAGAAGTGGGTTGAATTCCATAAGAAGTTGAGGCCATGGTAACAGGAGCATTGTCAGTCCAACGTACCAGTATTACACCTTCATCTTTTGAAATTTTAGATTCGATGGAACCCCTATTTTTTTTTATGTCTAATTTAGTAGATATTGGACAGTCCTTTGGAATCCTATTTTCTCTGACGGTCCCTGTAACTCCATAGCCCCTTCTCTTTAGCTCAGTTAACAAACTAAAACTTGTTAACAAATTGTCTGTGTAAATTTGATAACGAAGATCACCCTCTGGCAAGGAGTCTAGCCTTAGAAGTAACGGAGAAGTGGCTTTTCCAAATTTTTTTGTCATACTCTGTAACTGACTTTGGATTAGTTCCCTGATATATATCAAAGTTGATTAGGTAGCCGTTTTCGGCATTTAAACTCCACACTTTATAGCCAAACCTAATTGGCTTTCCGCGAATATACTGCAGCTATGTCTGCCATAATATTTTACCATACATTCGTCGTAACTCATATTTTCTGTCGGCTTAAAATATTTTAAATAATTTTTTTGAAACTTTTCAATAAGTGGTGTAAGTTTCCACATTTTGTCTTTGTTATTGGATTTGTTATTATCTGCGCAATGCAAAAAACGCATAATCTGTCTAAATCTATCCCGGCGCATTGCTTCCTTCACTAACTGATTACCCATGTCGGATTCTGAATCCCAGTAAAAACATTTTCCGGAAAGAGAGTTATACCCGGTCAAAATAAGTATACCGATGAAACACTTAATTTCGTCATATTCTATTTTGGGATCTGGACAATTTAGGAACAGCGCATATTTATTTGATTCTTCTACTAACAGACGAACAATATCGTCATCGATAAACAATTCCAATAAATCTGTTGGGGATTTTCCTATAAAATCAGTATAATCTAGCTGCGGAAACATTGCTGTCGTTTTCAGAATATCACCATCGATCCAAGTTCTTCTAAATGTTTCTTTTACTTTCTTTTGCTGCCTTTGAAACATCTTCGAAACCAATTATGCGCGTAATATTGCAAAATCGGATTTCTGCAGCAGTTGATAATTGGCTACGTGATAAATTATCCATTTCCCCGCCGTCTTCATCACCAGAATCTTCGTGTCAGTACATTCGGTTCCGGTGGTGATATGTATATGTCACACACGCCATTGTTGTCATCTTTGTCGTTGTATATCATATCTAAGGCTTCTTTGAGAGAGAAACCTCGCCTGAAACAAAAAATACAATTTCTCTCAAGTTCGGCTAGTGTTACTATACGGTCACAGTCAAGTATACAACAAAGTTGCTTTCGTACAAAGAGGGTGTATCAAAATCTAATATCTAGAAACTTTGGACACATTTCACTAACTATTGAAACAAACAAACAAAAACTGTTCAGTTTGAAATAGAAATTTGATACTTACACAAAATTTGGTTCTATTTCTATTTCAAATACCGGCGAACACGTCAGTTAACCACTACTATGAATGGGAAATCAGTAAAATAATAATGCGACACGTTCACACAGCAAAGTACCGATCTCAACTGAATAGATTTCATCGCTTCTTCACGTTCTTTTGGATCCGTAAATATGTCAGCTGATTTTGTGCAGCGTTGCCTGTGTTACTATATGGGCACGGTAGCCTTTAAAGGGTTAAGTATATTATACATCTTATATAAGTAAAATGTAACTGGACATTCAGTTGTTTATTTTTATAGTAGTTAAACCATTTTGTAATTATGTATAGATACCTAATGAATGAAATATTTAAATTTACACCAGGCATTATAATCTGAAACGAAGAAAATAGTTTTCTATTTTATAGAGGATCCTTACCAATTCTACTCAAATGTATAAAAATTATTAAGAAAATAAATAAAGTTGAAAACAACCATCAAAAACATGAGATATGACAAGAAAAAGTGACAATTGACATAAACATAAACGTTCCGATTCAGATTAGATGTTCATAGTTCTTTTCGTGAATACTTTTTTTGCAAATTACTTTATTACGTTGTGTTATCATAACAGGCAGGTTAAATAGGTAAGTAACAAATAGAAGTTTTGCGAGGTTTTGATTTCCCTTAAAGCAACATCGCCAAAAGGCTTGGCAACGTTATGTGCTAGCTGGGAAGTAGGTAGAGACGACATAAACACTATTTTGCGATATTTTGAGTCATATTTTGGTTAATTTTAAGTTAATAATTTAATATTTGAAGATTGACGGAATGAAAAAGTTTTTATATGGAATTTATTCTTACCAAAACTGACTAGTACCGACTAGTACCGTCATTGCATTTCCTTTTTATTCTTCATATACAATTGGAAAGATTCGTATGCCCCGCCCTACTTTGTGACGCCACTCTGTGCGATGCGCAAAATAAGGCGTTTCAAGTGATTTTAAGCAGGCACATTGTTTCACGGATCTGTTGACGTGGTGACCTCTTTTTAGCTACAGGCTTTCGCGAAAACATCTCGCTCCTCGGGCTCACTTAAAACAATGCGTGATGAAGACGCGATTAGTCAGAGCGCAATGGCGTACCCAAAATAGACATTAGTATGAAAATTTATAAATAATAACGCAGTATATTAAACAATTTATTTGCAAAAATATAACAAAATATTTAATATCTAAAACTAAGGCTTAATTAGTTTATTAAAACTGTTTTAAGTCCAACTGTTATATGGCCATATTTACATATACCTATTTATTAAAATTAAACAAATAAATCTGTGTCAAATATAAATTAATATAAACAAAGTGAATAACTATTGTCTCCATTCTGTTTTATACAACGAAGATTTAGTTCTGTTTAAAAAATCATGAAATGTATCCAAAATATGGATGATAATTAGAAAGGATTGAAAAATTTGAAACGTTTAAAAAACTAACTGAAATCGAAATATTTGATTTTTTTGTATTCAGTGTTTATATTTTCAACATATATTTAAAATTATTAATTTAGTAATTTATATAAAATTTTCCAATGCTATAAAAACAATTAATAACAATCCATGGTATTTACATCGGTAGGCTCATACTCTTTCAGAATATCATCAAGAAGGGATTGAAAATTGTCAACGCCTTGAACGATTTTAGTTTTTTCACTGAGACGCCTTTCGAGATCAGTATAAACCAAATCTAAAAATTTTATAGGGCATAAAATTGAATGTTTTTTCAATTCGATGTTCTCCATCACTGGAGTGTCCTGTTTATTAAAAACGGACTCCAATAAATTTAAATCCCTCGTATCAAGAATTTGGTCCATGATATCTTCGGAAAACGGCACTTCCTGACTAGGACTATCGAATCCCAAATCCATTTCGTCAAGAACGGGAATATCTTTTTGTCCTAATTCGATAATGGGACACGTAGGAGCGAGATTTTGAAAAGATTCTTTGGACAATTCGTGTTGTTTCAGTAAACCAACGAAATCGGAAATCGTCTGCGTTGCCAATTTTGAAACTTCCAAATCGCATTCATCTTGAATCGCTTCGTAAAACACCGACAAACAACCGATTTCAGACAGCTCCTGAAGGACTATTACCAATCTTTTTCGAACTTCGAATGGGCTTAATGTTACGATTTTTTTGAGTTGTTTGGAGAAAGTTACATTGGGAAAAGAACCATCTATCATGCCTTGTTGAGTTAAATGATCGTCTATGACTCTTCTCCAATATTTCAGGGCGTTTACTCTAACTTCCCAATGCAAGTCGGCGACAACCGCATGGCTCATGACATCGTAGAATTTGATCAGGAGGTCATGGGGTATGCTTTGGTGTTCGTAAATGCTGCCAACTAAGGTAGCTGCCTCGGAACGGACAATACCTTCAGTTTCCATTTGTAATATTTTTAAGATGATTACCTGAAATGTAATAATGCATATATCAATAATACAGTATAAGCACCGTACATAAACAAAGAATAGTAAATCCACTCTCCCAGTTGCCTTTGAAGTTCTTTGCACACAAGCTTGCCGCCGTTTTTGTCTCTTCACACACATTTCCGGGCATACAGGTGTATCAAGAAGCAGCGAGCGCAGACTGATTGCATGCTCTTTCGACTGGCGGCATTGGACTGGTCTGTACAGAGAGTGGATTTACTATTCTTTGTTTATGTACGGTGGTATAAGAGTTTCATTTATGAGCTTAACTTTATCTCGCGATATTTATGAAACTTTTACGGGGGAATTTATACTGAGTTTTTGAGAAAAAATAATTTAACGAAAGAAATACCCGAGTCGTTTCATATCAAATGAAAAATCCAAAATATATTTTTTCTGATCAGTAGTTATTTTTATTAATTTTCAAAAATCGAATAATTGACCAATTTTGATCCAACACAGCTTCACAAAAATTAGTATATCTTGAGTGCCACTTATCGTAAATCGACGAGACATAGCTCGTTGTAAAGGTAATACCTTTCCAACGATGTGTCACATAACCTATTTTATTTTCATCTGTTTCTTTTTAATTTTGAAAAAAGATTTTTTGATTTTTTTCAGAAGTCATTTTTGATTTTTTTGAGAAAAAATATTTTTTTATCAATGCTTTGGCAAAATATGTGTCAATTTCAAGATTGAGAAATTATGTGTTCACGGCCAAATAGGGTTGCCACCTGTCCCTTTTTGAAAAGGACAATCCTTTTTTAAGGCAAATGTCTTTTTTACAGCACATATCTTTGGTTTGTATTTGTACAAAAATATATACAGGGTGTTAAAAAAAAAGTGTCACAAAATGAAATGGTGAATAGTATGACCCAAAATAAGCAGAAAAGTCTTAATAAATATATGACCGCAAATTAACGGTTTCGGAGATACGGACCATTTTGTGTTTATAACAATTTTTTATTATTATAAAAAAACAATGATATTTATAAACAATCAATAACAACATAGAGTTAAATGAGATGTTCAAATACTGACGTAGCGCTTCCCTCGCATTGCCATTTGCACGACCGTACATAAAATGCATGTCAGCTAATTCAATATTAGTGTAAACAGGCATAACGAAAATTTATAAAATTATTCACCCACAACAAAATAATAACTGCAAATAGTATATATGAAAAAACATCGGTAGACTCCGATAAGAAAAGCAAGTTTTTGAGAATGAAAAAAGATAATAAAAAAATGATACAAAATACAATACAATACTCCGTATCTCTGAAACCATTCATTTGCGGACATATATTTATTAAGACTTTTCTGCATATTTTGGCCCATACTACCCCCCGTTTTATTTTGTGACACTTTTTTTTTAACACCCTGTATAAACTGAGGACTTTTTTTAGGATGAGGATTTTTTGTATACCAGAACCCCTGTCAGCATCCTAGTCCTTTATTCACTTTTCAAAAAGATGGCAACCTTACGGTCAAAACAATTAAAAACCAAATAAAAGCAACAAAAATCTGAAGAAAAATGTTCAAAATTCGTATTATCATGCATATATGTGTATGCGATATAGGAAAAAATAAAAAAAATTCTATTTTGAATGTTAATTCTGTACAGGTGAATTAAAGCTAAAATAAAAATAACCCTCTTTTTTTCATCTTCCCCCCCCCCCTCCCCACAGTCTAGTGTTGTATGAGTCCAAAGTTGTATTTTTTATTTGTGCGAACTTGTTTATTCCTGTCGTGTCTAGTTTTTCACCAGACCAGACAATCTGTGCCTGTTTGATGCAGGAAAATTCCTGCAAGAAATTCTTGCAAGAACACTCCAGAATGTTGATTTCATTTATATTTAAACCTTGGCAGTGTTGTACTTCTATATTCTACTGTTTAAAAATGTCTAAATTCAAAAGATTAGTCTAAAATATTTGCGACTAGGTGTTGTGATCCGTTAAAATTGAAGAAACATTCTGGAAAATTGATGAATGTTTCAGAAAATATGTGCTCTCATATAGACATTAAGCTAGGAATAAAGATTTGTGATGGGTGTCGAATCAAACTTATGAAAAGTTCAAAGAAAGGTAATTCGCCTGAAGCAGGGTAAGAACATACTTACAAATGATTTATGTATATTTTCATAGTGTATTAAAAATAATTATTATTAAAAGGAAACAAGCCAAAACATTGTCACTTCTAATACCTATTTTATGGCATATTTAGATTGTATAAAGAACTACTAGCAGTATCACCCGAGAATACCTATCAAGGAGAAGCGACAGCTTGGTGTTTTCAGTGTACAGTTTTGTAACGCGCATGTGCGAAAATAAGTTGTGTATCACTCAAAATCAGTCCAAGTTGTGTTTAGTACGTGAGCAATGTTAAGTGATATTTTTTGGTGTTTGTTTTGTGTAGTAATAAGATGAAGATTTTTTACACACTTAGGTATTCTAATACAGATATAAAATGTGCCAAAAAAGTTATTAGGAAACTAAGAATTTTATCACATGTATAAATATTAAGTATAATGATTTAATCATTTTTGACATTTTATTTTTCATATGTAGGTATTGGATTTTCTGAACTATATGTTTGTCTTCTTTTAAATAAATTTAATAAACAATGAACTGCAGATTTTGTTTATTTAATTTTGAAATTATATTTAAAAAAATATAATAAATCCGCGTGTTTCAATTAGAATTGGTCAAAGTGGGCGAAATCCATTTATTAGGGCTAAATTGTAAGTTACAATTATGTCAATATAAATATGTGTTGCCCATTCATATTTATATTTATTGAATGAATCATATTGGAGTTGATTTTGGAAATAGTGGTACATACTTAAATAAGTACTATTTCTAAAAATTCGTCTATGGCCAGACAGCACACATAGTCCAATGGACGTACATTTTAGATCCATTTGAGGGTCAGGACGTCCTTATCAGGGCATTCAGTGTACGTCCGTTTTTTGCTAATTTGACAGCTGAATATCGATACCCAGAGAACGTCTGTTTTTGGACTTAACTTTAAGTTTAGTAGTATTTTGACGTCCGGTGGACGTCCATCTTGGGTCATTATTTATTAAGCATACCAGATAATTATTTTCTTAATATAATTGGTCATTAAAAATTGACAAATTGAATTTATTGCATTTCATTCTATCAGCGGAAGTTTGAAATCTTATTCCATTATAACGGTGGTTCCTTAGTCATGCTCGTCTAGCGATTGAAAGCGTAAAACGATAATGGATGTGTCGTGAGTTCGATCCCTGCTCAGGTCAAGCGATCTTTAATTAAAAAAAATAAATGGTGTATAGCGGTTTGCGAAAATAAACAAATTATTAATAATATAAAATAGAGTGTGGTAAGTTGCGGTTCTGTAAAAAAAAATGGGGATGTGGTTTCAATGAAAATATAATTCTGGATGTTTTTTGAATGTACCGTATTCGACGTCCAAATATATTCCAGAATTGGACGTCCTCTGAATGGTCAAAAGTGTGCCATTTTTATACTTCACTGGACGTCCATTGGATGTCGGAAGTCCAGAAACAACTCATTTTTGGACGTCTAGACATCCACAATTGTATATCGAATAAACGTCCAATGGTCATATTTGCATTGTCTGGGTGATAGCCAAGCCAAGTATTTAACTCTAAATACATAAACCTTAAATGACATCTGGCTTATCTTTGCGAGAAAACACTTGTATCTACAGAAATGAGTAATAAACTTGAAAGTCCTTTTAATATATAAATACAGAAATTCTAAAAATATGTAAGTACTTTTTAAACCTAAAAGCTTTGAAAATATATCACATTGCAAATATTTAGTTAAACCTCTCAAACTTAATGTCTTTTTAATTACCTAATTTTTTTTGGTACCCTTAATTTTATTTACCATAATTTTACATAAGGAAAAGGTAATTTAATTTAAATATGGGGCTTTTATTACATTTTTAACAATAAATAAACCAAATATTGAACAAATTTTATAGATAAATTATAAAATAATAAATTTATTTTACTTTTATAACAAATAATTAATTATTACATAATCAATTATATTTTGGTACCGAAATTTCACCAATGCTATTAACCCTAACTACTTCAATGTAATTAAATCACATTACAACATTTGCGCATGGACTATAACAATGATTTCAGATAATTTGCCAAACTATTTCGCTCAGTGTAGAAAATAAGCATGTTTTCTCAGCGTATTAAGTTGTGTATTAATAAAAGTCATGTTGTGAAAAAGGTCCATCCAATATCAAAGGCACCGACAGCTACTGTCGCTTGTCGCTTCTCCTTAATCGGTATTCTCGGGTATCACCTTATGAAAGTTTCATTGGAGCCAAATGGATACTATCAATAGATGACGCTAGTGAATTTGGATAAGTGGAAAGTCGCTTGTTTTGAAGTGGGTGGACTTGAAGCTCGATGGGTTTTTATTTTTAGCTTTTAGATGAAATTTTATTCATTCGTGAAGACATCTTGATTCATTGTTTGGGCTGTTTCCTAGGTAATGGTTGTTATTATGTGTTTAAACGGTAGGTATTGTGAATTAGTTGTTTATTTTTTGTTACTGGATTATTTTGTTAAATAAATTTAAAGTAGGTACCAAAGTAGGTAAAATTAATTTTTTTTGGAAGTGAACATGAATAAAATTAAAGATAGATATTCAGTTAAAAAAATATTAAATAATATGTGGTAGTCGAATTATTAAACCGTAATAAACTATAGAGTTTATTTATTTATTTTTTGTGTTCATAATTTGTAATGAATTTTTAATAAAATACATTTTTTTATTAAATGATTGAAAATAGTATAAAATATGCAATTGTTTTTAAAACGTAACACAGAAAATGAAAATGGCGTTGATTTGAATATTTATGTTTGTCATGATCATAAAACGCTGTAGTAAAATGACAGATGAGTGCAATACATGTTTTATTGCACTAGTGCAATAAAGAACCAGTTTTTTTCAATAAATATAGTTCAATAAAGTTTTGTTTTTTGCATGAACGTAGAAAAAACTTATTTTAACTTTTCTATTAAGTAGGTATCTATATTGTTTCGAAGCCAGTACATAAAAATGTTCTCAAATGAAATTATTTATACAAATTGTTGCAATATTTAATAAAAAATAATTAGGGCTTTGATGGGTGCAATCTTGAATAAAAATAGCTTTATTAGTTTTAAAACTATATAGTGAGACGTTAATAAAAAAATTATACGGAGTGGCCAAGTATATTTAAACCCATTTTAAATATGTTTATTTCAAAAAGTAGGTAAGTATTTGGAATATAAATATACTGCAACATCCAGTTACATCGGAAATAAGTATGACATATAGGGAAAATTTTAATTTTTATATAAAACATCTGACAGCCTCTTCTATTCCCTTTTTCCGTTTTAGTAAATGATCAGCACTTTGAACAGTTATTGAACTAATTATTTTGGTATATTTTTGTCCGTTTTCAAATTAATTAAATTATTATTTTAAATAAATATAGTGACTGTTAAGAAATTTAACAATTAATATTTTAATGTAGTTATAATTTTTTTTTTAATTAAAAATTCTGCTAAATTTTCAGTGGGAGAGAAGATTATGCTTTCTGAGTAACTAAACATATACAGAGCGGTCTGCATGAAATAAGAAATAACTTGCCCTATAGGTATATGAAGAAGATAATATAATTTCCGGTGTAACCGAAAGTTGCAGTACAAAAGTAACATAATATGCCAAAAAATCTAAATAATTTTTAAAGGTTTCCAATGAAAACGGACATTAATGTCTCAAATACTTTTAGAGATACATTTAAAATGAGCGCTTTTCGTGGAATAGCGCCGTTGTGGTAAGTGCTATCGAAAAAAGTGCAAACGAAATATGTACAGGACAAAATGGTACACAATATTGACCTCTACATTTTTTTGTCTGCGTTCTACGACGCGCCAAAGTAGGGGGTTGATTTGCAGTATTCAACAAAATGAGAATTTCAGCGCAGATTAAGACGAAGATCGCTATGAAATAATTATGTAATATTTTTTTCTAAAAGAGTAATGATTGCTGAGTCTGCAGATGCCCGATTTGATACATTTGGTCGTATATAATAAATGCTATGATGTTTTGAATCGCGCCCCTACATACTCCGATATAAAGATTTTGTAATTATCAGAATCTACAGTCAATATTTCCTTATTATTGTTAACCTAGGCGCCAAATTTATACTGGACGCAGTACGGATGGCAAAGGAACCAGCTCCAGATGTTTTACTCAAGAGCATCTCGTGCAGATGCAAGAAAGGCAACCCCTCGAGGTCGAAAACTTAGATGTGGCATCAGGGGTTGTATTGGAGAGGGTGGAAAGCAAGTGGACTGTATATTTAAAGTTGATGGATGTTACTTCTTCGAAAAGTTTCCGCTCTAACCAATACAAGAGAGTAAAATTGTTTGTGTAGAACTCACCACTTTCACACGAATAAAAGTCATACACATACTAAATGGTTTATTTAAATAAACAGAGAAGTCAGAAGGACTTCTCACAATATAACTGTAATGATAAAAAATAACAGAAATGTATTGCCTTAGACGTGGCAACACTGCACGTTTACTCGAATTGTCCTTAAAATTAAATACAAGAAAAATAGCCAAAAAACTTACATTTTTCACTTCCAGCACTGACTTTATTAGCATTAGTTAAAAAGAGAGAATCAAAATACATAGGGGTTGGTAAAATAGACATTTTCGTCGTTTTCACCGCTAGCGCACAAAACAACACCAATCATATTTGAGTAGTGGGGTACTACTGCCGCGAGTACTGGGTTCGAGAGAAACTGATCGGGAATCGGGAACCGCTCCGTGGTGTCACGGGGAAATACGTGGTATTCTGAAACCCGATCAGAGAGATATGGAAATATTTTATAATTCTACAGGGTAGAGTTATAATTAAGTCGCGTAGGTGGATTTTAATTTTAAAAATCCAACAGGGGTCCCATGTCTACCATCCCACCAAATTTCATTTCTTTCCGACCTTTTGCGAATAGAAACCACCCACCGCTTGGACTACCAGGGGTAGTTTGCAAAAACCTTATGAAGAACAAATCATGACTCTAGAGCAACTGAGTTTGCAAAAGAAAACATTCAGGGAATCATATTTAAGTTTATCACGACTGCTGATTATGAAAAGTATTCAAAATATTTGGAAAACAAGGTTTGCTGATGCACAGATTCCAGTAACCCAAAAACTCCATTCTGTCGTTTCAGTGTCAAGTCAAAAGTTGTCACAAAAGGTTTCTCATTGAGCTCAGAAGAACAAACATATGAACTAATACAGTGTTCTGAAATAACAAATTCAGAGCTTATGCATATCCAATCTGGTTTTGTTACTGTTTAATACGACAAATTATGGTGGTTGGCATGTATTACTGGAAAAAATGAGGAAACTGATGAACTCAAAATCAGTTTTTTGCATCCAATAGGGTCAAATAGTTAATTTTCCTACCCTACGCCTAAAGCGGATCTACTGATAATAAAGAAAGATACTATATTAAGGAAAGTTCGCCTTGCACTGCTACTGGCCGGACATATACTTTAACCAGTGACGGCTCATGGGGTGGCTCACAGTGACAGAATATAGGTATCAGTACAGATGTATGAAAAAACTTTCAGTGTTTTAGAAAGTTTATAATATACCTTTCTAAAACAGTTTTTTACCTATATCTGTACAGGGATCTATATGCTGCTATTGTGAACCCCTAAAATTTTGGTCACAAGCCGCCCCTGACTTTAACTAGCGACGAAATGATTGAATATTCAAACATTTTGGAAAGAAAAATTAAAACCAAAAACTATTTGTAAATATAAGTATATTTCTTGTAAAATTTAGTTTAGTCCTAAGAAAATTACAAAAATAAGGCCAAAATTGTTCATAATTTTCACTTAATTAGATTTTTTTCACATATTTCCTTACTTTTTTTTTCATACCGAACCCATGATTTCTTCATTTTAAAATTTGGCACATATTTTGCCAAAGCATTGATAAAAAAAATCAAAAAATGTTTTTCAAAAAAAAAAAAAAAAAAAAAAAAACAGATGGAAATATAATAGATCACGTGACAGATCGTTGGAAAGGTGTTTGAATTACCTTTACAACGAGCTATATTTTATTGATCTCAAGATATTCTAATTTTTGTGAAGTTGTGTTGAACCAAAATTGGTCATGTTTCGATTTTTCAAAATAAATAAAAAAATACTGATCAGAAATAACTATTTTGAATTTTTCATCCCACCCATATAGAGAATCAGTGTACCAAATTTTATCAAAATCGGTGAGATAGTGCCATACATCTTTTTATATTGGTTGATTTGGATATGAAACGACCCACCTATAATCATTAATAATTATTCAAAATATGTTATTTTAATTTACTTACATATATATTGCAGTTTGAGATAATGCTATCCCAAAATGTTGCATCTTTAATCATTTCTTGTAAACATTTTAAGGCTGAGGCTCGAACATATGAATTTCCGTCACTCGTTGCCATCCTGACCATCGAAAGAGGAAAATTATTTTCCAAAATTAATCGATTGTAAGATGAAAATTCTGTAAAAAAAAAGTATTTTTCTTATTTTGATATACAGAGTGATTCATTAAGCAACCATAAAAGGACCATGTTTCGAGAATCATTTATCAGGTAATTTCGGGAATATTTTCAAAGACACTTGAGTCCAAGTTCAACGCGTTGTCAATGACAAGTGACGGCGACTTTTTTATCACAAAAAAATACAGCTCTGAATTATATTTTCAGAAATTGTTTTTAAAAATGGGTTCAGAGTACGGTAAAGAATAGTGGAAAGTCTATAGATTGCTTTTTGTTATAGTCTATACGAAGCCAATTCGAACACCTAAATAAAAGACTCTTGTACCGGGTTTGATAAATTTACTAATTAATATCATATATAACCTCCCATATAAAATTGATGATTGGACCTCGTATGAATTTCTTATCTCTCACTACTGTATATCGGCAGTATCGCCGAACAAATAATATTGCATGGACACACAAGCAAAATATGAAGGTCAAAAAATGTCGGGTCCACTGTAAACACCGTTGTTTGCATTTTCGGGTAAATTGTCAGTGCTATGGCTTGAGTAAGGATTTATAAAATTAGTTTATTCTGCGTTCTTGGGAATTTTAGTGAGTGGCTTGCATTTATTTTCTTGTGGTTATTATTTAATCAAGATGGCGTTGTGGAGACCTTTTCTTAATGTTTCTGATGTTGAAACGGACAATGTTGAAGGCTCGGTTGAAGATAATTCTATCTAAAGACTTATTTTTAATATTTATACTTGCTTGAAAAGTAAAATGCCTCATAAAACGAAATTTGTGAGCTGACTAAACTTGCTCGTACTACAATTTATACTGTTGTTTGAGCAGGAGATGTCATTGATCATTCCGTAAAACGAAAAAGAGATAATCCGAAGCTTAAGAAGGTTGTTAATGCCGACAAAGAAGTTATACGCCGAGTTTTACACACGTTTTACGAAGAAAACAAGGTTCCAACTTTATCCCGATAATGAATATAAATCTCTAGACACATTGCGTAATATTTTGCTAGATTGTAGCTTCAAGTACACAAGATTTAATAAAAGAATGGTCACAATGGAGTCATCTCGCATCGTAGTATGGCGCCAGGAGTATTTACGAAAAATTAGGCAATACTGCCAATCAAAAAGTGAGATAGTATACCTTGATCAAACTTGGTTCGACACACAAGATCTTGTTAAACATTGTTGGGTGGATGAAGGTAATAAGTGCTCTCTAAAGGATCCTTGTTCTCGCGGTAAACGAGTTATCATTCTACACGCAGGTAGTAATAAGGGTGTTGTTCCTAATGCTCTTCTATTGTCAGCCAAAAATATAAAACAGTTATCTGCTGACTACCATGAAGATATGACCGCCAGTCTCTTTGAAAAGTGGTTTAATGAACAACTGCTGCCAAATCTTTCCCCAATTTTTGTTATTGCTATGGACAATGCGCCTTATCATTCCCATCTACATAACAAAATTCCCAAAAGCAGCGCAAAGAAGGAAGACATTCTTAAATTCATGGAAAGTAAAAATATGGAAATTCCTATAAAGGCTACCAAAAAAGTGTTATTGGAAGTTATAAAAAAAGAATACTTTTAAAAAGAATATGTAATTGTCAAGATATGCGAAGCCCATGGTCATACTATTCTACGTCTTCCTCCCTATTACTGCGAATTTAATCCGATCGAGATGATTTGGGCTGCTGTTAAAAAATAGTAGTTTGTGCAACAAGAGGGGATATGATGGCCATATCGCACGAGGACGTATCGTCTGAGTGCGATGTAGACAATCCACTTGAGTTGTACAGAATATTTTTTCTACGACCCACTAACGAAAATTTACAAAAAAATCCTTTTATTTTTGTTACTTTAATACACGAAATTAAATTAACTTCATATAGTTTTATTTAAATTAACAAATTATTTATAATTATAGACGAAATAAAAACAGAAATGCTATTATTTATCGATTCTACTCAAGAATAACCCATTTTAAAGTATGTTTAATCTCAATAACTATAAAATATACTGACAATTACTTTGACAGAGTTGTCACTTATTTAAAAAATAAAAAATAATAGCAGTCGGTTGATCAAAATATGAACGGTGATTGGTGGATTTCATTTTTTTGCAGTGTTCTCACTATATAGAATTTTTTTTTTTTTTAACTAAGTTAGTGGCACTGGATATAAAACAAAAGGCCAGTCAATTGTCAGGTGAACAAATAAAAATATATAACAAACTTTATTACTTTACAAATTTTTTCTCTTCTGTCTTTATTTTTTTTTCTTTTCTTAACAATTTTTTCGAGTCAGGTGTACAAATTTTTTTTATCGCTACTTACATGTTTTATTTCTATTTCCTAATTACAATTTTAATTTGAGTGTTTTGACAAAATTATAGAGTATGTTATATATACTGTCAAATGTTAGTAGATTTTTTAAATTTATAGGTAATTGAATTTTGTTGTTAATTAAGTTTTGGTATAATAAATTAATTTCTAAATCGTTTAGAATACAATCCAAAAATATATGTTGTAAATCAGCAATCTCATCACAAATACACAAATCATTATCTATTAGACCTATTCGCTTCATATATTGAGGGTATAAAGCATGATTAGTTCTAATTCTGCTAATCGTTTGGATTAGTGGTCTATTTGACAGCTTATCAAACCACGGTTTTACCCTTATATTAGATTGAATAGATTTATAAAAATTACCTGTTTCCTTCTCTACATATTTTGCTTGCCAATTTTGATCCCTTTTATATTTGAAACAAGTATTTAGATCGGATAGGGGTATTTTAAAATTACTTATGTAATTAAGTTTTGTTGCAGTTTTAGCCAAAAAGTCTACTTTTTCATTATTAGGTATTCCCATATGGGCTTTGACCCAAGATATGTATATTAGTTTATCCTGATTTCTTGCCTCAAAATTTAGTTTTAAAATGTCCAGAATTATGTAATTAACTTTAGAATTGAAATTAAAATTTTGAAACTTTTGAACTAAACTTTTGCAGTCTGTGAAAATGACAAAATTTAATTCCTCTTGATTTAGGCATAACGAAAAGGCTTCTCTAATTGCTAATATTTCTGCACTATAAACTGACATACAATTTGGCAAACGTTTTAAAATTTGAATCTCTTTATTGGGATAATATAAAGCGTAACCTACTTGATTATTTAATTTAGAACCATCAGTGTAAAGTGTTTCATAATGTTTCCATTTTGTATTTAATTCTTCATAAAAATTTGTCTTTATTAGTAAAGGGTTGTCAACGTCGAATTTATTATTAATATAACTATTAACTGGCATAATAAGAGACAGATATGGATTGGACCACAGCGGTACGCCATTTGAAACTGGTAGATCATTACTGACATCTGAAGTAGAAATAAAACTGTCAACTAATAATGGCCGTTTTTTCTTTTTCCAAAAGGATGAAGTTAAGCATAGAGTAGTTAATCTGCTTAATTTATTGATTACTGTGTAATGTTTTGATCGGGATAACAATACAAATTTATCGCTCAGAAATTTCCTTCTTAGATCCAATGGACTCTCACATGTTTCGACTTCCATAACATTTATAGGAGTGCTTGGTAAGAATCCTACGCAGAGTCTTAGGCATTTATTTTTAATTTGTTCAATTTTCTGAAGATGTGAGTTTGCTGCTGTGTTATAAAAAATTGAACCATAATCTATAATTGGACGAACCAGCATTCTATAAAACATTAGACTAACATTTGGGTCAGAGCCCCAATTATGACAAGTAAAAGTTTTTATTATATTTACAGCATTTTGGGTTCTTTTCTGAACATAATTTATATGTTCCTTCCAGTTTAATTTACTGTCTATAATAATGCCTAAAAATTTAAAGGAGGATTTATAAGCCAGGTTATATTTATGTAACTTTATATAATTTGGATGGTTATACCTTTTGCGCGTATAAGTAACTACAGCCGACTTCGATTCAGATATTGTTAAACCATTTTCATGACTCCAACTATGAATTTTCTCCATAGATTTGAATAGTTGATCATGGCAATAATTAATTTGTTTGTGGCTTGTGTAGATCACTACATCATCTGCGTATTGAAGCATATTTGTAGATCTTGGAATACAATTTTCTATATAAAACGTGTAAATATTATAAAGTAAAGGGCTTAAAATACTTCCTTGAGGGATCCCAATGCCCGATTCTCGTGGACAAGATAATTCACCGTTTACTTTTAAAAATAATTTCCTATTGTTATACAAATGATATATATGATTTGAAATAGTTATGGGGATTCCTAACTTACATAATTTTTCACATCAAATATTTAAATTTACATTGTCATAAGCACCTTTTATGTCTAGAAATAAAGCGCTTGTAGATTCATTTTTTGATAAGCATAGTTGGATATCTGTTACTATATTTGCTATACTATCCTGAGTTGAAATATTTTTGCGAAATCCAAATTGAGTAGATGAAAGTAAGTTGTTATTTTCTAAATAATATTCCAGTCTGAGTTTTATCATTTTTTCATACGTCTTAAATATACAAGAAGCAAGAGCAATTGGTCTATATGAATCAGCTTGATCTGATCTTTTCCCAGGTTTTAGTACAGGGATAATATTGTATTCGTACCATTCTTTAGGAATTGTTATTTTTCTTGTCCATATATTATTAAATATGTTGAGAAGAGATAATTTTGCATTCTTCGGTAATTTATTCAGCATAACATAGTGTATTGTATCGTGACCCGGTGCTGTATTTTTTGGATTTTTGAGGGCAAGACAAATTTCATGATAAGAAAAGGGTTGGTTTAAATAATCGGTCACTGTTTGTTTTGCAATATTTTCTAATGATGGAGTTCTATGAACATATGGAGGAGTCAAGTTATTATGGAATTCTGTTAACCAGGTCGATTCATTTATGTCTATTTGTACGGTATTATTTATTTTCCTATTTTTGTATTTATTTACTTTTTTCCAAATATCTTTAATTGAAGTAGATTTGTTAAGACTTGAGCAATATTGTTTCCAGCTATCCCTTTTTGTTTGTTTGAGTATCCTTTTCGCCACCGCATCGTTTCTTTTATACTCTAATAAGTTATTTAAATTAGGATTATTTAAATAATTTTGAAAACTAATCTTTCTTGAATCTACTACGCGTTTACAGTTTTCATTCCACCAATGCTTGTTTTTTGGGGAAACATGTATTGATCTATATTTAGGTATGGTTAGTTCTATTATATTTTCTAATTTTTCCATAAATTGACTATATTCATTAATTTCCGTTTCTGAGAATTGTTTCAACGCTTCTAAATAAAACGAATTCCAATCCGCTTTACTAAGATTCCACTTGCGATTTGAGTATGAGTAAGTAATTTTAGGGCTTAGATTTATATTAACAATTGTTGGAAGATGATCTGAACCATATAAATCATTTAGCGTTGACCAATTTAATAGATGTGAAATATCTGGAGAACAAATTGTTAAGTCTATAGCTGACTTATATTGGCATGAATGACCAATGAATGTAGGAGAGCCATCATTTAAATATAATAAGCTACAATTATCTAAAGCTTCTAAAAGGTTTTTGCCATAAGAATCTGTATTGGGACCACCAAAAGCGAGGTGATGACAATTAAAGTCCCCTATTCTTTTAGTTGAAGGCAATAGCATACTTTTTCGTTTTGTAATCTGTGCATAGATAAGCTAATATCCATGTGAGTGTAGAAAAAAAAAATTACTAACCGACTGATAAGCGACTTAACTCTGATAACCAAATAAATTTTTGTTGGTGAATACGTCTGTAGGGTGAAATGTGTGCAAAAGCGCATCGATATGACAAATATACCCCCCGACGTACTTATGCGGACGCACTATGGAACGTTTTGCCTGTTTTTTACCCAATATATCAAAGATTCGTTTTCATAATGATGAACGTCTGTATATTGGGATTTTTGAAATCGTTGATTTCGAATATGATATAAAAAATTACAAAAAATACAAAATGGAGAATCCAATATGGCACCAGAAAATATTAAAAATTGCTTATTTTGAAAAAAAATTAAATCCGAATGGGTTTTTGGGGTCGCTGATTTTGAATGTGATATTACAATTTAGAAACCCAAAATGGCGGATCCAATATGGCGCGAAAAAATATTAAAAATTGCGTGCATTAAAAATTAGAAGTGCAAATTTCCAGATCCAATATGGCGCCCGAAATTATTAAAAATTGCTTGTTTTGCATAAAAATTAAACCTGCAAGGCTTCTAAGAAATTTTCGAGGTTGCTGAATTTGAACAAGACTAAAAAGTTGAATTAAAAAATGGCGAATCCAATATGACAAAATTAAACAATTGTCGATCAAGAATATTAAAACTTATTAATTAATTAAAAATTTATTCAATATTTTCGTCACCCATTTCTATATCATGATCTGCCATTAGATCATCCATGTTGAACTTTGAAAATTTGATAGCAGATTCGTAATAGATGACTCAAATAACCCCAAGATACCAAATTTCATGAACATTGGAAAAAAGTTTTTATTCACGGTCCGCCATTTTGAATAGTTTTGTTATAAAAATTAATTTGCAATAAATTTGTAATAAATTTGTAATAAATTTGTAATAAATTTGTAATAAATTTGTAATAAATTTGTAATAAATTTGTAATAAATTTGTAACAAATTTGTAATAAATTTGTAATAAATTTGTAATAAATTTGTAATAAATTTGTAATAAATTTGTAATAAATTTGTAATAAATTTGTAATAAATTTGTAATAAATCCCTATTAAATTCTTAATAAATTCCTAATAAATTTTTAATAAATTCCTAATAAATTTCAAATAAATTCATAATAAATTCCTAATAAATTCGTAATAAATTTCAAATAAATTCCTAATAAATTCGTAATAAATTTCAAATAAATTCCTAATATATTCCTAATTTTAAAAAATTCCTAATTTTTAAAAATTCCTAATTTTTAAAAATTCCTAATAAATTCCTAATAAATTCCTAATAAGTTTCAAAAAAAATTCCTAATAAATTCCTAATAAATTCCTAATATATTTCTAATAAATTCCTAATAAATTCCTAATAAATTCCTAATAAATTCCTAATAAATTCCTAATAAATTCCTAATAAATTCCTAATAAATTCCTAATAAATTCCTAATAAATTCCTAATAAATTCCTAATAAATTCCTAATAAATTCAAATTATTTTAGTCTGTTAAAGATCTGAAAAATAATGAAATTAGGAAAATTAAGTATCAAATTCATTTGGTTTGATTTTACATTAGGTTTTCACATTAGATTGTCTATGTATTCCTTCATTTTTATCTATCTACAAAATAAATGTAAAATTTAATTTTGTTTAACTTACTAGTATTGTTAGCAGCAATTGCAAATTCGTGAATAAGTTCTACAGTGCTGTCTCTGACTTCCCATGCGCCATCATGTAGTTTGACATTTAATACAGGTGGAAAATCATTCATCACAGACACGTCAATGTCAACTAAAAGTGCCATTTGGAAAGTGAAATATTTCGAGATTCCTTTTCCTGCAAGTTTTAGGGCATTTACCACTATCTAAAATTAAAATATATAAATTCATAATGATGTTCCAATATTTTAATAATATTGCAATTTAAGTTCAGTTGTATTTCTTGAAAATGGTTAGACGTAGTAATTACTTTGAGGCCTATTTCTGTTATTTATAAATATAGAAGAAAATTCTTTTAACAAAAGTTGTTTGTGAGGTTATTCTCTATAATTTTGGTCAAATACATTATTTTTCTAAAACGGACCGCAATGGAGAAATTTGAGAAAAAGTAAAAAATTTGATTTTTTCAGTATTTTAGTTGACGATGAAGGTATGAAATGTTTTGAATAATGTTTATATGTAATTCACATTCTAAATACTTTTTGATTATATGGGTCGCACTCCATATTTTGATAACTTTACAGTAATATTTGCGCTTTTCCTCAAATTTCTCCATTGCAGTCCATTTTAGAGAAATCGTGAATATGACCAAAATTATAGAGAATAACATCACAAACTTTTGTTGAAAGAATCTTCTTTCATAATTATAAATAACAGAAATATACCTTAAAGTAGAAGAAAAGTATTTATAAAACGATAAAATTAAAAAATATTACCTTAGTTGGCCAAACGAAACCATTTAAAAGACTATACATTAGATTCAAAACGCAAAAAGCTTCAAGGCTATCCTTCCATTTGACATCAAATTCTTCAATCAGGATTTCCATTACTTTCAAATGAAGCGCCAAATATTCTGGTTCTTGTAAAAACGGAAGCTGCACATGAGAGTTTAATTTTAGATGTATTGTTAAGTCCCGAATTAAATAAATTAACAATTGAAATGCTACTACGGCGTTGTCCTTATTATAAAACTGTTTGGAATGTACTAAATATTTCAATGCCAATATTCCGTCGTTGAATGAGAAATTATCAAGTAAATGTTCCATCCATTTATATTTCAACCTCATGATTTTTGGATTAATTTTTTCCACATATTTATTAAAAAAGCGAAAACGAATGTCATCATCCTTGTCGTCATCAATATAGACTTTGATTCCAAAATGTTTAACAAAAATGGTAAGGGCAGGCAGCACCTGCAGTGCCAGAATTTGATCCTCGAACGATACGACTTTTTGATCAGTGTTAAAGCATGTTGGCATGGTAGCTTTTATATCAAACCACACGGTATGAGACATATAAAGCAATTTCATCATGCACAATATAGAGACTTCTGTAGCAGCTTGGTAAAAAATATTTAAAATCACATTCCAGTAAATTTCAGTTTTTTCCACATGTACAATTTGTAAACCAGAAAATTTTGACCTTAAAACATAAAGGGACAATAAAATTATCAATTTCATTAGTTCTGTTTTGAGTTCTACATTTTGAAAGAGACTAATTAATTTTCTAATTCTCTTTTCCAAATTATATTTTTCGATAAACAATAAAATAACTGCATTCTCATTTGGATTTTTGCAATCTTTTAGTAAAATCGTTAATACTTCATTCAAAATCTGTACGGTAGTAGACAAGCATCTAGTATCACATTGATCTGGTGCACTTTCTGGCATATTTTCTGTCGTATCTTCTAAAGGGGTTAAAATGGTTTCGATTACATTCTTGCAAAAAGTTGTATTAACCGCTATTGATTTTACAAGCAATTTGGTTATGAGTAGGTTACCTTCTTTAGCAACGTATACTGTTTCGTTATTCAAAATTATATCTATTAATAATTTCCAATGATTTGTAGATATTATCCATTGTAATCCGGATTTGTGATCAATAAAAGTACAAATCATCTTAATTAAAGCTACAGTAACATTTGGTTTTGAGACTCTTTTGACAATCGTCAATAATCGTTCAAATATGTCATCGCTGTTGAGGGTAACAAACATAAGTTCTTCTTTACAGAGGTATGTTGTTATATTTAAAACAAATGTCAAAATATGTGGATTAGGGGGCTCGTTAATTTTTTCAAATTGTATTACTGCTCCTTTCAGCCATACTGGCAGCAATTGCTTGATAGTTTTAAGATCACGTGGTGTTAAACCATCAGGAGAATCTGTAAATAAAATAATGGTTTGTACTTCTGCTATATTTATGTTTGTACTACAGTCATTAAGGCGTTCTCGGTTTTAACAAGTGTACTAAAAGTTTAATAATATAAACGCTGCTGTTGTCAAAATAATTATTTATTAGGTCAACTTACGTAGACAGTTGGTGGCATATGAGAAACTTTGATATTATTAATATTAGGAAAAAAGTTATTCTTCATAAAAAAGTCGAGCATGGTTTAAAACTGAAAATACAACCATCATATATCAAATTTTATTAGTCGTATACGAGGTTTGTCAAAAATAATCTTCAGCAAAATTCACATTTTTTAACAAACCTCGTATACGGCTTAAAAAAATGATATCGATGGTTGCATTTTAACTTTTGGATTTTTTATAAAGAATGACTTTTCATAAAATTAAAAAAGAATTCCTTTGAGTAACAACACTGTACAAAGACGTATTGATGAAATGAGCTCTGATGTTGAAAGTTTCTTGTGTGATTATCTATGAACAACTCATTTTTCTATTCAACTGGACGAGTCAACTTTACCTGGCAATGAAGCATTATTATTGGCATATGTTCGATTTGTTATGGGCGAAGAAATTCATGAGTTACTATTCGCGAAAACTTTGAAGACGGATACTAAAGTGATTTTTAAAAAAAAATCGATTCCATTCACAAACGTTATTTAGGTGGCAACAGATGGAGCTCCCTTCTGCCACGGTCGGGCGATATCGTGAGTTTATAATAAGTCATCTTAAAAGAATTATACCAGAGGTAATTGCGATTCACTGTGTTATCCACCGACAACATCTAGTAACGAAAAATTTAAGTGATAGATTGCACCAATCGCTTCAATTTGTGATTAATGCAGTTAACAAAATAAGAAACAATGCATTGAATACGCGTTTATTTGCACAATTGTGCGATGAAAATGATGAAGACTTCCAACGATTGCTGTTACATACCGAAGTACGCTGGTTGTCAAAGGGTGCATGTTTATCAAGATTTTATTTACTTTTCGACTCAGTTTTAGAGTTTTTGGAAAGTAAAGATCCTGATTAAAAAAAAAACTTGATCAATTTTAAAGCAGACATCGCGTATTTGACAGATTTGTTCAAAAAATTTAATGACCTCAACTTACAATTACAAGGGGACAGCCTCAATTTAATAAAAACAAAGAGTGTAATTTCAGCTTTTCTTGGTAAATTAAAATTTATGAAGGAAAATATTGGTCGGCGCGAATGTTCAGTTTTCAAACTTGTCGCAGGTAGAATGCCTTGATGAAGATATTCAGACATACGTTCAACATTTGATTGCCCTGCATGATGATTTTAAATTCAGATTTGAAGATATTCTGTCGATGGAAATACCACCATGGATCATAAATCCATTTGATGAAACAGAAGTGGAGAATGTGATATTACAAGAGGAGCTACTCGAGCTTAGCACTAATGAGGAGCAGAAATACCCGAAAAATATCCTGGATTGTGGGGAATTGTGCAAAAGCTTCTGATAGCGTTTCCCTCGTCATATCTCGTCGAAAAAAATTTTAGTGCCGTTACAAACTTATTAACAAAAAAAGGAGCAGATTGAATATCACAGAAACGGGAGATGTACGGTTATTTCTTACAAAACTCAAGCCACATATTGATAATTTGCTGTCAATCCATCAAGTACATCCCTCTCATTAAAATTATATTTTTTGTAATTACCATTGTAGAAATTACATTACGTTATAAGTGTTTAATTTTAATTATATTACGACGGTTATAACAATAATAATTAATAGTATAACTTAGAAAGCGGTGCCTAGAGACTGAACGTAAATTAAAAAAGAATAACGTTGTAGTTTTTGGTGTAAATATAAATTCCGAAGATAATCTATAACAAAAAGTTATAAGCCTTCTTAATGATAATCTAGGAGTTAAAATTAAAGAACGGGACCTAAATAATTGTTACAAATTGGGTAAAGTGCCAAAATCACCAATTTTATTAGAATTTGCATCATTTCTTACGAAATTAACACTTTTTCATGATAAAGAAAAGTTAAAACAATTTAGAGATAAAGGTTTTTCAATAGCTAACGACCTAAGCAAGGAAGACAGGGAAGAACAAAAAATTTTTAGAACCCATTTAAAAGCAGCGAGATCACAAAATTTTAATGCCAGTATTAAAGGATTTACTCTATATGTTAATGACACTGCATTTTCAACTGAACAACTAAAGAATTTTGAAAGTAGGTCTGAAACTGATAGCGAAGATAACGAGGTAGATACTGAAGATCAATTTATGAAGCAGAGTAGTCAGAAGTCTACCGTGGTGGAAAGAACCCAGCCCAAGTCGAAAATAAACATAAGTAAGTGCTATCGCTATAGTCCAAAAAACCTAAGAAGTACAAAAAATAATTAATGCGAAGATTATAATTTATACTTTTGAAAATTTTGATTAAACAAATTAATTTTCTGTACTATAATAATTAGAATTAATTTACACTGTAAAATAAATAAATTTTCACCTAATTTTTAATTAATAGGTAATGGAAAATGTATATTTTTATAGGACATTTGAACGTAGGTTCTTTAACATCAAAATTAAATTCAGTAAAACAAACTATTTTAGCTAAATCATATAACATTTTCGCCATATCTGAATCGTGGTTAAAACCAGAAGTTGATGACAATTTACTTCATATTAATGGATATAATCTAGTCAGATGCGATAGACTTCATAAGCGGGGTGGAGGCATTCTTTTATATATTAAAAACAATTTAAGATTCAAAGTTCTGATAAGCGAAAGTTTGGATTATGTTGGAACAACTTTGGATAGAGGTAAATATAAATAAGGTGAGGTATGCTATTGGTGTAATCTACAGACCTCCTACATCTAACTATTCTTCATTTTTAAACAAATTTGAAAATACACTTGATATATATACTGGGTGTGACAAAATAATTTGTACAGGCGACTTTAATATAGATCTTTTGGATATACAGTCAAACACGTGCGTTAATCTTTTAGCAGTTACGGAATCATTTAGTTTAAAGCAACATATTTCTGAACCTACACATATAACTAACAACTCAATGTCTTTAATTGATCATATCTACAGCAATATTGGCTTAAATGACTCGGGAGTAACTGATACCAATTTAGTTAGACATTTTTTGGTATATTGCAGTTTTGAAGTATCAACTAAAGAAGAAATAATTAAAACAATAACTAATAGAAATCTGAACACTCTTAATATTAATCAATTTAAACAGGATTTAGAGTCACTAAATTGGAATTTGATTTATAACATAACTAATATTGATCAGAAATTAAATTTATTCAATAGCAATATTTTAAATACCCTTAACAAACAGGCACCTACAAAAAGAACTACCATCAATACAGCAAAAAATAAAAACCCTCCATGGATCACTTATAATATTAAAGTAATGCAAAAGTTAAGGGATAAGGCATTACAAAAGTACAGAAAAACAAAAGTAATAGCCCATTTGAATTATTATAAGGAACTCAGAAATTTTACATCCGCTGCAATAAAAAGAGAAAAAAAGGCTTTCCTTCATTTTAAATTAAATAATTCTACAACTAAACAAAAATGATTAGTTTTAAAAAATATTGACATTGGAAGCAAATGTAATAAAGAATTACCAGTAGTATTAAGAAAAGTAAATGAAATTAACTCTTTTTTAGTCGGTCCATCGAGTAATCTAAATCCAGATCAAAAAGTTATTGAGTTTTATAACGACAAAGTAAAAAGCACCGTGAATTCCTTACTTACTTTTAATACCATATCTGAATCAGACATATTTAAGATTCTAAAAAATATTAAATTTAAGGCATTTGGATCTGATGGTTTAAACATTCATATAATTCTTCTGTGTTGTCCATTCATAATACCTTATATCAGGCATATAATTAATGAATGCATAACTAAAAGGTATTTCCCGGTAAGCTGGAAAAAAGCCTTTGTGTTGCCCATACCAAAAATATCACGTCCTACGGAATTGAGTCATTTAAGAAGTATAAGTATTCTACCAGTATTATCCAAATTATTTGAAAAGACTATGGAACTACAAATTAGATATCATGTGTCTAGGAACAATTTGTTACCCAAGTGCCAGTCTGGCTTTTGGCTATAGCTGTGCGACTACACTGGCGTCAATATCAGGTCTTGACAAAAATGAAATGACTGTTTTGGTTCTAATAGATTATTACAGGGCGTTTGACATGCTAAACCATCAAATTTTGATGTCAGTTATGCATTACCTTGGTTTTAGTGAATCAGCACGTTCTCTTCTTTGTTCTTATTTAACTAACCGTAGTCAGTGTGTTAAGTTGAACAACGATATTTTTAATTCTATAAATATTATGCAAGGAATGCCACAAGGAAGCATTTTAGAACCTCTTTTATTTTCTTTATACACGTCAAATTTTCCTTCAGCATTAAAATTTTGTAAATATCACATGTATGCTGATGACACGCAAATCCTTACTATCAATGGAAAAAAGCTATGCGCAATAGTCTTTGGCAATGAGCAACAGAAAGCGAAAGCTATAATTCATTTCAAAATTAAATTAGATGAAAATACTTTACAATTTAGTGACAACTGCAAAAATTTAGGCGTGACTCTCTAGTTCTTTCACACTTTAACCATGCGGATGTAGTCTTCTCACCATGCATTGACTGCAATGATTTGGGTCGAATACAAAAAGTACAAAATTCCTGTATGCCTATGATCTTCGGTATCAAGAGGCCGCATTCTATATCTTACAAATTAAAGGAAATAGGATGGTTAAGCATGTATAATCGAAGGATTCTGCACTCACTCTGTCTATTTCACAAAATTTTAAAATGTAAAACCCCATCATATCTTTATGAGAAAATCACCTATAGAACAGATGTTCACAATCTTCAACTTAGAACTAAAAATACACTTAATATACCTAAACACTATAAGGAAATGTACAAAAGATCGTTTTCGTATCGTGAA